TTTTATCAACAAACAACCTCGGTTAACTCGCGAATTATATATGGAAGTAAACGAAACAGTAAAAGAGTCGATAAAACGCAAAGTATCAATAACTAGACCAAGAAGAGGAACACATACTACAGATGATGCTCCTTCGCAAATTTTGACAAGCTCACCCTCTGCTTCTGCTTTATCCTCACTTTCTACAAACAATACAATCACGTCTGCTACCTCTTCGTCCTCGGGTAGAAAATTTCAAATATTTACAAGACGTGCTTCTGTATCCTCGGGAAATGCTTCGAAAAGTTTACTATCTGATTTGAAACTGACAAGAGTAGATTCAAGTCCTACTCAACGTTCTGTTGCACCTCCTAGCCCAATTGAAACCGGTTCAAATTCACATAGCCAGCAACAGTCTTCTATAGCTACAGGAAAGCGTAGAAACCCGAGGCCACCAAGTGGTCATTATCCACCACCTACTTTAAGTACAACTGAGGAAGAACCTTCGGAAAATAGTAGTAATAGTAATAGTCATATCAGCAATAGCCGGAAATTCACTTTTCATATTGGTACACCGCCGCCTATCATAACTTCAATTCGTAAACCCAATAGCATGTTCTCGTTAGACATTAATAATAGTAGTAAAGATGAAAGGATGGAAAAACTGTTGAAGAAAACAAAAGTATTTTTTGATCAAAGGTCAAAGCCAAAAGCTCGAGCTGCATCTCTTTGGAGTTTTATTGGTATGTATAATTAAATTATATAATTGACGGAAAGAATAAATAAATATATTTACAAACTTGTAATTGAATAATGTATTTATTTAACAAAATAATGTATTTATTTATCTACATAATTTATTATTTTATTAATATAAATATAGACGCAACCAATGATTTAGATCAAGCTCAGTTTTTCCAAGAAAACGCTGAAGAAGTATTCGATGTAACTTACAAAGCCTTTATGAATCAAGTTGATAAAATAAAAGGTACGATAATCAATTACCCATTAATTTTTTAATCTGTTATAATCTATGTTAATATTAATATTTAATTCTTATTTTCAATTAGACAAACCTGATAGACCCATCTCATTTTCAGCTAAAGAATTTGTAAATATAAATAAAATTCTTGTATTATTACGAAAAATATTTCTTTTCTTGCCAGATTTAATAAAAAATGGATGGCAAAGGGTGTATATAGGTAAATCCTTTCTTTAATTAATTTTTAAAATTGCACGGATATCATTTTTCTGATTTCTTATGTCTAATTTAATATTCAATTTATATTCAATTTATATACATGTAGCACAAATTCTTAATCATCTTCTTGATCATGGAAACCATCCACGTGTTCGATGCCAAGGATTTCATTTATTATTACTTTGGATGAACGATCAAACAATCGAATTTCCAGAATGCATAAATTTATATGCCAATTCTATCTCACTCGATTTATTTTTATATGATCAGTTTGCTAGTGTAGAGAATACAGATTATAGAGCAAGTTGTGGACTCTCTGAGCTGGACCAAAAATTTATTCGAGGTAAGTTTTATATATTCATCTATATTAAGTCAAAAGATAATATATCCTTGAGATTAATAACACGTGAAATTCTCTTGATTTATAGCTGATGATAGAGGACCATTGTTTTCTAATCCGTGTCCGCCCACATTTAATGATTCTGTGTCGTTACTTAAGATTGCGTTAACTAATATTGCACGATTAGCTCACGTGGCGGCTGGTTCTAATCCACCACCTGAAAACTATGATTTTGCTGTGATGGATAATATTGAACCTGACAATGGAATTGCTATTGGAATAGGAATTGACGCAGCCCTTGCAGCTGCAAAATTTAATTATGAGCTTTTAAAAAAATATTACTTAATGAAACTTTTTCCTACTTGCTCAAAAAAACTTGGAACATCAACACATGCAAAACATGGTCAGTAAAAATATTTTAGTTGACGCATTTTAAATGGTTATTAAAAATACTAGATTTTTTTGATATTTAGAATCGGGATTTTCATCTTGTCCTCCTGCCATTTTACGCACCCTTATACAGTTTTTCATTGATTACTGTCTGGACAATACTTTTTTTGGTTCATCTGAACCTGTCGTCACATTTCCGTCACCCGCAACACCTATATTAAAATCTATTGTTTTGGCGTTTGAAAATAGAGAATTTGCTCATGAAATTATAAGACAGGCATTGATATTACCAGCCGGAAGTATAGCAACTAAAGACATTGTTCGGGGGGCTGTTCATATTGTTGGTGTTTGGATTCTGAGTGGGGTCAGTTAATATTAAAATTATAAAATTCGTAGTTTACTAG